GGAGCCTTTCTTAATCCCTCCTCTCCTCTTCAGGTTTGCTTCGTTTCCTGACCAGCCTGGAATTTCAAGCATTCGACATCGAAGTGCCCTCTGTACGTGGGGAGTACGACGGGGCCTTGCGACAGCATCTCAGAATATTCTCTCCTATACCCCCTTCTACTTCTTGATTTGCTTGGGGACCTCAGAATAATTTAATCTTCGAGTTCCGAAAGCCAGGCTATCTACCTGTTAACCAACCTATGGAGTAGTGCAATTCTGGATAGCCCGGGGATTCCTCATACTGTGACATCTTTATCTGAGAGAATCACTTTCGGCATACCCTTGAGCGCAACATGTCTGCGCCAGAAAACAACGCCCCCTCTCAGGGGAAGTCTCTCGAAGACTTGCAGGTAGCGACATTGGAGAAAGGACGTTCCACTTCTTCGTCTTCCGGCGCTGAGAATGAAAAATTACGCGACCATAATTCGCTCTCAGACACAACCATGGCGCCTCCAGATGGCAAGAAAAAGGATCATCAATCATCGCCTGCCGAGAAGGCTGTCGACCTGAGCGATGATTCTCTCTTTGCCCATCTTCCGGAGCACGAGAAGGAGATCCTCAAGCGACAGCTTGATGCACCGGCTGTCAATGTCTCTTTCTTCATCCTGTATCGCTACGCCTCGAGAACGGACATCCTGATTATGATAGTGAGCGCAATCTGTGCTATTGCTGCTGGTGCTGCTCTTCCCTTGTTCACGGTATGTATGACCTACTTGGCAACGCATCTATCTGCAAGTCATTAGATCAAAGAGCCGTTGTGGCTGACGTGTAATCTACTAGATTCTTTTCGGTTCACTAGCTTCAGCATTCCAAGGCATCGCTCTGGGTACCATGTCCTATCATAAATTCTATCACGAACTGACCAAGAATGTTCTTTACTTTGTGTATCTCGGTATCGCGGAGTTTGTCACAGTCTACGTCAGCACCGTGGGCTTCATCTATACTGGCGAACATCTCACACAGAAGATTCGCGAAAACTATCTCGAGGCTATCCTGAGGCAGAACATGGCTTATTTCGACAAGTTGGGCGCCGGCGAAGTGACCACGCGTATTACCGCCGATACCAACCTGATCCAAGACGCCATCTCTGAGAAAGTTGGTCTCACTTTGACCGCAATCGCCACATTTGTCACCGCATTTATCGTCGCCTACATCAAGTACTGGAAGTTGGCTCTGATTTGTACCTCAACTATCGTCGCCCTGGTCATGGTTATGGGAGGGGGGTCACGGTTCATTGTCAAATACAGCAAGAAATCTCTCGAAAGTTATGGTGCTGGTGGAACTGTTGCCGAAGAAGTCATCAGCTCCATTCGGAATGCCACCGCTTTTGGCACCCAAGATAAGCTCGCCAAGCAATATGAAACTCACCTGGCCGAGGCTGAAAAATGGGGCGTCAAACAACAAGTCATCCTTGGTATGATGGTCGGTGCTATGTTCGGTATCATGTTTTCGAACTATGGTCTCGGTTTCTGGATGGGCTCTCGGTTCCTTGTCGATAGAGAAGTCAACGTGGGCCAAGTTCTGACAGTTTTGATGGCTATCTTGATCGGTTCGTTCAGTTTGGGCAACGTTGCCCCCAATGGCCAGGCGTTCACCAACGGTGTTGCTGCGGCCGCGAAAATTTACAGCACGATCGACCGCACATCGCCCCTGGACCCCTATTCTGATGAAGGGAAGAAACTCGAGCATTTCGAAGGAAATATCGAATTCCGCAATGTCAAACACATCTACCCTTCAAGGCCGGAAGTGACCGTCATGGAAGATGTCTCTTTATTGATGCCCGCAGGAAAGACTACCGCATTGGTGGGCCCATCCGGCTCTGGAAAGAGTACTGTTGTCGGATTGGTGGAGCGCTTTTACCTTCCTGTAGGAGGCCAGGTATTGCTGGACGGCCATGACATCCAAACCCTCAACCTCCGTTGGCTGCGACAGCAGATTTCTCTTGTCAGCCAGGAACCTGTCCTTTTCGGCACCACAATCTTTAGAAACATCGAACACGGCTTGATTGGCACCAAATTCGAGCATGAGTCAAAGGATAAGATTCGAGAGCTCATCGAGAACGCGGCCAGAATGGCGAATGCTCATGATTTTATCATGGCTCTGCCCGAAGGTTATGAGACAAATGTCGGTCAGCGTGGTTTCTTACTCTCAGGAGGTCAGAAGCAGCGTATTGCCATTGCTCGTGCCATTGTCAGTGACCCCAAGATTCTGTTGCTTGACGAAGCTACATCAGCTTTGGATACCAAGTCTGAGGGCGTCGTCCAAGCCGCACTTGATAAAGCTGCCGAAGGTCGAACCACTATTGTCATTGCTCACCGTTTGTCGACAATCAAAACAGCCCACAACATTGTTGCCATGGTCGGCGGAAAGATTGCGGAACAAGGAACACATGATGAATTGGTCGATCGCAAAGGCACCTACTATAACCTTGTGGAGGCGCAGCGTATCAACGAGGAGAAGGAAGCAGAAGCTTTGGATGCCGACGCGGACATGGACGCCGAAGATTTTGCTCAAGAAGAGGTTGCTCGCATCCAGACTGCAGTTAGCAGCTCCAATTCTCTCGATGCTGAAGATGAGAAGGCGCGCTTGGAGATGAAACGGACCGGAACCCAAAAATCAGTTTCGAGTGCCGTTCTGTCCAAAAGAGCCCCCGAAAAGCTTCAGAAGTACTCACTCTGGACTCTCATTAAGTTCATTGCTTCGTTTAACCGCCCCGAGCTTGGTTACATGCTCATTGGCTTGACTTTCTCGTTCCTCGCCGGTGGTGGTCAACCTACCCAAGCTGTTCTGTACGCCAAGGCCATCAGCACACTCTCGTTACCCGAATCGATGTATCACAAACTCAGGCATGACGCCAACTTCTGGTCCTTGATGTTCTTCGTGGTTGGAATTGCTCAATTTATCAGCCTTTCTATCAATGGTTCAGCATTTGCTGTTTGCTCGGAGAGACTCATCCGCCGAGCCAGAAGTCAAGCATTCAGATCAATTCTTCGTCAAGACATCTCATTCTTCGACAGGGAAGAGAACAGCACCGGTGCCTTGACGTCCTTCCTATCAACGGAGACGAAGCATCTGTCAGGCGTTAGCGGAGTGACTCTCGGCACAATCATCATGACTAGCACGACGCTTGGGGCGGCGATGGTCATTGCGTTGGCGATCGGATGGAAGCTGGCTCTGGTTTGCATTTCCGTCGTTCCGATCCTGCTGTCATGCGGCTTCCTCCGATTCTACATGCTTGCTCGATTCCAGCAACGATCGAAGTCCGCCTACGAAGGATCTGCGAGCTATGCTTGTGAAGCCACATCAGCGATCCGCACTGTGGCATCCCTCACCCGCGAGGAAGACGTCTGGACCGTTTATCACGATCAGCTTCAAAATCAAGGGCGAAGAAGTTTGATCTCGGTGCTGAAATCCTCCCTGCTGTATGCCTCGTCGCAGGCATTGGTGTTCTTCTGCGTCGCTTTGGGCTTTTGGTATGGTGGTACACTTCTAGGCCATCATGAGTACTCCATCTTCCGCTTCTTTGTCTGCTTTTCCGAGATTCTTTTTGGTGCGCAATCAGCCGGAACTGTCTTCTCTTTTGCTCCAGACATGGGTAAGGCAAAGAATGCCGCTGCTGAATTCAAGAAACTCTTCGACAGAAAGCCGACCATTGATATCTGGTCGGATGAGGGCGAGAAGTTGGAGTCCATGAGAGGCGAAATCGAATTCCGGGACGTCCACTTCAGGTACCCAACTCGGCCGGAGCAGCCTGTTCTTCGAGGATTGAATCTGAGCGTGAAGCCTGGACAGTACATTGCGCTTGTCGGACCCAGTGGGTGCGGTAAGAGTACTACGATTGCTCTGCTCGAGCGATTCTATGACACACTTGCTGGAGGCGTCTACGTGGATGGAAAGGATATCACCAAACTCAATGTCAACTCGTACCGCAGTTTCCTCGCCCTGGTCAGCCAAGAACCTACTCTGTATCAGGGTACCATCAAGGAAAATATCCTGCTCGGAGTCGATAAGGATGACGTTTCGGAGGAGGCCTTGATCAAGGTCTGCAAGGATGCCAACATCTATGATTTCATTATGTCACTTCCGTAAGTTTACCCTCCCCATCGTCCCCTTTCATGCCTGGCGGCTCTGCTAACATGGTACAACAGTGAGGGATTTGACACCGTTGTTGGCAGCAAGGGAGGCATGTTGTCTGGTGGACAAAAACAGCGTGTCGCTATTGCTCGTGCTCTCCTGCGTGACCCCAAGGTCCTTCTTCTGGACGAAGCCACATCTGCTCTCGACTCCGAATCAGAGAAAGTCGTACAAGCTGCCCTGGATGCCGCTGCCCGCGGACGGACAACGATTGCTGTTGCCCATCGACTGAGTACCATTCAAAAGGCCGATATTATCTACGTGTTCGACCAAGGCAAGATCGTCGAAAGTGGAACGCACCACGAGCTTATCCGAAACAAGGGCCGGTATTACGAGCTGGTCAATCTCCAGAGTCTCGGAAAGACTCATTAATCATCCCTTTCCCCTTCTTTTCTTGCTGTACAGATTTTTAATATTTTCGTCCTCCTCCCTCCTCAATCATGTCATTCTTGGTGCTCGAAATACCGTGGATGTACCACCCCGCTAATGTGTTTATGATTCCCCTGTCAAAAGTCCGGCTGGATTCCCGTCGTCATTGTCTCTGGTCCTTATCTTCGCTACTTAAAGTGCCTTATACAATAGATATATCATTGGAGTTGTCGGGTATTACTCTCTACTCGGGTATCATACATAATTTTGAATCGCACTCTTCTCCTAGTCGAACAAAATTCGAACTTATCATGTTCTTTGATTTGATGCATTCTTACTACACAATATGGACGAAGAACAAGATGCATCACAAACGGCCTCATCGGAGGAATCTGCCGGCAGAATCCGAGACATCATTTCCATTGTACAGGGTCAGGACTCAGGAGACAAGAAAGGTGTCAATCTCGGTCTCCCACCCCAAACTCCTTCTGCACATCAATCTGTCGCATCCCACGCGCGTCAGCTATGAGACCCATCAGACCCTGTCCGATGTCCTTGATCTCATTGTACTCATGAAGCAGACGAATATGGCGTTTCACCGTAGCCGAAGGATCATCCCTTTGAGAATGTCAGCATTTAAGGTCTCACTTTCAGATATAATCAACATGAGCGAGAGAGGGAGTCTACTTCAACTTCGCTTTGACCTCTGCGATTTGAGCCTCAAGTTGCGTGGTTTGCGAGTGGAGGTCCGTGATGGAGGCCTGTAGTGCTTTCTGTTTGTTGTCAGCTTCTGCTGGGACTCGTTCTGCTCTTAGAACGTCAATTTAAAATGCATACAATCTTCTTGTCCCGTTGGATCTGCTGTTCGGGGGTAGGGCTGTTTTCGGTGGTTTGTTGAAGGGGCCTATTCTTGCCTGGAGAGGCCATGGGAAAGAGCAAGGCAGGGACTTTCACGATAGTGTTGCTTTTCAGGAGTGGTTGGGTGACACAAGATACTTGTCGATGCAATGTGATTCTAGTAGAGAGTTATTGCGCATGTCGATGTTGGGACAGAGAGAAGACGAGATGCTGTTGGTTGTTCGGTAGAGGCTTCGCTATACAGAATGAACAGCATGATTCTCGCCACGTCGAAACAGCACAACAGTATCATTATTCTGCTAGTATTCTGGTAGAATAGTTTCTGATCGACAGTTCTCTCCTCTGTGTAATCACCAATGCTGCCGGACATATACAAGTAACAACCATCGACCAATCCGAACACTCCGAATTTCTGGCCCGAATCCGACATTCGTAATCGTTTCCCGTCGTACCTCCGAGGGCTCCACCGTACATCATCTTTGTCCATTGACCCTCTGCTCTCTTTTCCTTTCTTCCCTCAACTCCCTCTCAACCTCCTCTCGAGTTTGATGATGAAGATGATGGGTGTATTGGACCTACGAGGGGTGCTTATTGCTCTTCTCCTTGCCTCTGTCGTGGCTCATGGCGGCCACGAGAGTGTCCCCGAGGGTGCCGCCGTCTCCGAAGATCCTATTGTACGTGTCGTGTCGTTCGCACTTGACTACTTTTCTACCTTCAGGGACGAGATCAAACGGACTAACATTGCCCTCCGGAGTAGGATTCGACATTATGGATACATATGATCTTGATGGGATTTGCCTTTGGCATCATTTTCCCGCTGGGAATGGTACTGGGGGTATGTTCATTGCCTTGACCATCGATAATGGCCGGTCGCAGAAGATCTAGCCGACATTTGAACTGACGACTTGTTTTGACTAGATTGTCCGCTCGCGGTGGCATGTCCCTCTTCAGATCGTCGGCACCGTTATCGCAGTCGTCGCATACTTCCTAGGCCACGCTCACAAGGGCCGTCAGTTCGGAAAGAATGTCCATGCCTCGTTCGCGAACGTATTGATGCTTCTGCTTGTGGTGCAGGTCGTTATCGGACTTTATCTCAAGCTACATCTCTCCAAGGGAATTCATGGTCGAATTCGTCGGTTCTTCGTGGTGCTGCATGGCGTTCTCGGCAAGGTGATGCCGATTGTGAGCTGGACGCAGATGGTCTTCGGGGGTATCGCCGCGAGTGGCTTCTGCCAGGGTGATCATCTCGGACAATGTCTGGCGCATTTCATCATGGGCAGCGCGTTCATTGCCTATGGTATCATGCTTACTATCTTGCTGCTCGTTGGTCAGTACTGGCTGCGCCGTACCGGCCGGAGCCAAGAGTTCTTCGACTCGCTGGTCATCGCGGCCTGGGGATGCGTCAACACCTTTACGGAGCATCGTTGGGGTGGACCGTGGGTACACAATGATCTGCAGCATACCACTATGGGCATTGTCTGGTGGTGTGCCGGTCTTTTGGGTATTTGGATGAGCAGGAAGAGAAATGGCCGCCCCAAGCGGAATCTCATCCCGGCCATCGTTATTCTTCTGACCGGTTATGCGATGTCGGCTCATCCCCAGACTTTGATGATCAGCACCATGATTCACAGCATTTTCGGCTACACGTTGATGGCTGCTGGTTTCACCAGAATCATTGAAATTGCTTTTGTGCTGAAGGACAAAAACACTGTGAGCCTCGACGGCTCGGACCCGAGCAGCTTCCAATATCTGCCCCCTTTCGTAAGTTCATCTCGCATATTTTTTTTCTTGAAGCACGCGTTCGGACTTAATTTGGGCTAATAAGGGATTTTCGCAGCTCCTGTACGCATCTGGCTTCCTGTTCATGGGCGCAACAGAGGAGCAAATGCAACTGCTCCACGATGCCGGAATCACCCACGTGTCCTACGTTCTGATTCTATACAGCATTGCCTTCATTCTCTTCCTCTGTAAGTCGGCCGTCTTTACCATTTCACCTCTGTTTAGGCTACTGGTTTCTTGTTCTAATTTTCGCCGTAGTCGTCAATATCCTTCTACATATTTACGCTGTCCACGCATGGCCCAGCTCCACCAAACCCTCTGCCCATTCTCGCTTGTCAAGCACCACAGACCCGGCTCAAGACTCTGCCTTCGTGAACGGCCACGCCCGCTCGGCGTCCGAGGCTCAGCAGATCAATGACGCAGAGGCATTCGAGTTGCAGGGTCTTATCTCCGACGAAGAAGATGAGGACGGTTCCGGTAATCGAAACCATGCCATGGGTCCTCGAAAGGCGGAAGATGAAGAGAGCGTTCCTTTGGTTGGAAAGGAGGCGTCATCGAGCTGATTTGCCAGGATCTTGTTCTTTCGTCCCTTATCTTTTTGTGGGCTCGCAAGGAGACAATTTGCATTCTGATTACACCAAAAGATCCTTGCTTCAGTTTTGCCACTTGGAGAGTGAGCTACCTCGCTCTGATGACTATGATACGATCAAGATTCTTGGTACTTGTTGGGAATGGCGTTGCGGGATTGAGTGCCCTGCTTTTTGTGAATCAATCGGCCAATTGTTTTGGCTTGTATATATACCGGATAGTTGCAATGGCTTTACAAGAGTAATTAATGGATAATTGAGAAAACGGGCTTTTTTAGTGCTCATGTCGGCCTGAATCATAAAGACGACGCCATCTATATTATTAAGATCGTTTGGTCAGATTCAATTTCGTGAACCTATCGTACAAGTCATAAAGGTATTAAAACATGTGTGCGTAGAGGAAGACAAGAGGAGCAGCCTCGAGGGTGCATGTGATTTTCCAACTCGCCAGTGAACTTGCAACCGGGGACAATTGGAAGGCCTAGATATTTGTAGGTAGTCTCGTAGGTAGAGGAGCAGCGGTCGGTTCGCCGTTGATGGGAATTGCATTCGCAACAGGAGGAATGGCAGAAAGAGCCTTGTCCATCTCTGGTGGGAAGAAAGGATGCAAGGAGTAGATGGGTGCGACGGACTTCTCGCCGTCGAATAGTAAGAGGTTCTGTAGTGGCTGCTCTCTTGCGCTCAGCACATTGATCACATCCTGCGAGAGGCTACCGCCAACAAACGCCGCCACGGGGCTCAGTTCGCTGCCGAGATTCTGTAAAAAGGTTCGTAAAAATTCTGAGTCCAAAGTGCTGATGTCAAGTTTTAGTTCTTGGTGACGGTCACGAGCAAGCTTGGTGAACAGTTCAAGATCTTGCCGGGAGAATGTGGGCAATCTGCCCCCGGAAAGCTTCTGGAATTCCCACAATGCTCGAAGGCATGTCAGAAGTGGCGTGACCTGTCTCCGTCGTCTGGGCAGTCGGGTCAGGTCCTCAGGGAGAGGCGATGTGTTTGCTAAGATGAGGGGGGAGTAGATTTCCCGCTTCGTCACCATCTCAATAATTTTATCATTTTCCTTCTTTGTGGTGATATTGATGATGGTTCTAGTGGGCGTCTCTTGGGTTGACGGCGAAACATTCGACTTGGAACGTTCAATGACGAAGTCATGAGAAATCAGATCGGCAAATGCGTAGCCGTAAAACCCATGCAAACCAGCAGCATAGAATGGACGGTTGGCGATTCGGCATGCGGCATTGATTGTGGAGTATGTTGGGAAGTCAAGCTCCGTGGCGATGGTAACATCGAATTGCGCGAAAAAGTCAGGTTGCTTGGTCTGAATATCTTCCGTGTCGATCCGAAGCTGAACTCTAGGATTCATAGCATGTATCGCCGGGGCCGCAGCTTGGGCGCGCTGTCCTTATAGTTAGCTTTTTGCTTTTTTTTCCTCACTTGGAATCCCCAGCCATTGGACGACATACATTCTGGCCAACATGCTCCTCAGATATGAAGAACTGCGCTCCAAGGTCTTCTTCCTTGACAGTCTCATGGTCGACTATGGTCAGAGTGCCGATGCCTGCCAAAACAAGGTTCTTTGCGATTTCGTTCGCCAATGCTTTGAACGTTATCAGAAGGATATTTGCGGACCGAATCCTAAAACGAAGGGCATGCAAGATCAGCTCATGAACGCGCACGGCTGGGAATTGGAGTACTTGCTTCTCTTGGGCCTTGACCCCCCAAAGACGGATTTGACGATCATACAGCGCAATCTCATCTGATGATTATAACATGTCAGACATATATAGCCTGGGTGTCTCCGTCGTTGGCGAATTTGCACCTACCCGCACTGATCGATTGGGCTGCGTTTTCTAGCGACGATGTCATGCTGGCTGGTCTCTGTTGAAAATAATTGAGACAATAACAGAATCGCACTCGGTGCTCAATAAGTCGGGCCTGATGAGAGCAGCTCTTGAGGTAACAGATTGCGCAACAGACAGTCAATATGTGTCGGATACGACTGATTTCAGTGAGAGCGAGGCCAGGTTTGCTCTGTCCTTGATAAATGAAGTCCGGAGGATGTGTAGATGAGAGTAGCGCTCAGTCACCAGGAAGAGAGAGAACCAGGGAGAGGATGGAAGAGCAACGGGGAAGCGTCCAGTGCCTACAGTGCCATCCACATGCAAATAACCTAGATACCCAGGAGCTAGTAAATTTTTGAAAAGACAATGGAAGGCAATCAAAGGGAGCGTTGACTGAGGTGTTAGTGATTGATTATCGGGTTGCTTATCCTGGGATCACGTGCCACACATCACTGCTGATAAGTTATCGCCTTTCACTGAAGCGTCATTTCCCGCTGTTATCAATAATACTAAGATCCTCCTCCTCCTCCTCCTCCTCCACATCATCTGAGATCCGGCCATCTCTGCTTGTAGCCCCAAGCCTTGACAATTTTCTTTGTTTCATTTCTCAGTCGCCCTGTCCGTTCTCCTTATTGCTCAGTCTTCGAGCTTCTGGTCAAGCCATTTCCTCTTTCTGATCGAGTCACATCTCTCTCAATAATCAGGTTGATCTCTCTTCTCTTACATTGTTCAGTCATACTGGTATAGTGCGTCCCCCGCCTCTTGACCTGTTCGACCTGTCACTGCCAACTGACTGCATATTAAATTCACAAAATGGTGCGTGAGTAGCTCAGAGCATCTCTCAATCCTACATTCACCTCATTGATCGATTCCATCGAGTCTCAAAGTTATTTCGTGGAGCCCCATTTCTGGCATCCTTAGTTGACTCTTATACATTCAAACTGTAGTCTGGGAACTACGATTACCCTCCTGCCTCTCGTCGTGCCCCTCGTGCAAACCGTACTTCTGACAGATCTCAGCGGCCCACTGAAAATCGCTTACAACATCTGAGGGATTTATTGAGCTCTGAGCGCCATCGGGATAGTTCCACGACTGCCCGCGCTTTGGAAATACTCAACCAGGAAATAGAGGAATATCGTTCCAGTCGGGCCCGGAACTGGACCAGCTTTGAGCAAGCTAGAGAAGCTGTAGATCGGCAGATCCAACTTTTGCAAGCAGCGACACCTCAGAGGGAGGAGCAGACGCGCGGTGCTGATCACATAGGCTACCCACGACTAGTGACGCAGAGGTCTTCCACTGCCGATGTCGCGGGGTTGAATCCTAGCACAGCTCCTTCGAATTCCATACGATTAGCTAGTAACAGAAGACCTTCTAGGCGTCGGCCCATGCGACATCGACACCAAGAAGGACGAAACAGAGTTCCCGAGGCACAATCCTTTCTTGACGAGCTCATACCCCTCGATGAGACGCCTTCTGCGATGCCGTTAGAACCGGACATCGATCCGCAGGTGGATGGTCGGAGGGCCAAACGCAGAAAGCTCGAGTCAGACGACAAAAGAGAAGGGCCCCAAGCTTTTCGCTATGGCCACTATGGCCAGGTAGTCCCAGGCGCTCTCAAGATGGAAATCAAAATGTGTGACGGCGGGACATATGATGATTCCGACGGCGAGAACTCGTGGCCAGAGAGCATCTTGCGCAATGATCCAGCTGTCTACTGCACGAAGTCAGATCGATGCAATTTGATTCTAAAACATCGGGGAGACTCCCCCTTCTGCTTAAGCAAGATTGTCATCAAGGCTCCAAAATCCGGTTACAATGCTCCGTATGTCCCATCTCAAGCAGTCACTCGCGCACCTATTTCGGATTTGCTGACCGTTCTCTAAGGGTCCAGGAAGGAATGATTTTCGTGTCTATGGCGTATGATGATGTCTTGGCTCGTACCGCCGCGTTCAAGATTCTTAGACCAGCCCCTCGTCGATCCAACCGGAGCAGACGGACTGGTCTGCAGCCTTCCGAGGAATATTTGAACGCATTCCGGACCCCCCTCCAGACTTTGGAAAGAGCCGTATTCGGCAGCACAGATTCTCCTTCGGATTCCGATAGCGATATCAGCACCATCGCAGGACCCGACGCCCCCAATCCCATGGCTGAGTTTCAGGTAACGACTGAATATGATGTTACCTCTGATCATGATGATGGCGATGATATGGACGATGAGGATGAGGCGGATGATGTTGACGGCTCCGAAAGCGATGAAAGTGAGACTGAAAGAGGAGCAGTTTCCGACGAGGCTACCTTTTACCGGAGACGTGATGAAATGCTGCAGCGTATAGAGGCTATGGAATGGTCGCACGAGATGGAACAGCGCGGGCTCGAACGGCGGCGTCGGATCCCCAATCGTGTCGAACCTGCTGCATCATCTACGCCCCCAGAGTCTCGACATGCAGGCTCATCATCTCCGCCCGTGTTAAAGCCACATGCTCGCTTCTTCATAGAGCGAGCCAAGAGCATGGTCAGCATCAAGTTTGATCCACCGGCGTATGTATTCCGAATCCTGTTGAATCCTATCACTCGAAGCTCGCTGACCCTCTTCAATAGCTCAGGTAGATATATCTTGATCAAGCTCTGGAACCCCCGCAACGATGGCAATATCGATATTCGGAGTATCATCACGTACGGCTTTGCTGGTCCTCGATTCTTCCCCTCTGGAGAGTTTAGATAGATGCCGCATCAAGACAATGCGGCAGCCCAGCTCAACAAACAAACATTCTATGCATCACTTCAAACTGTCTTCTTCACCCACTCTATCCTCCTACAACCCCGTTTCTTTCAAATGAGCCAGAGTCATTGCGGGTTCCCGCTTGGCTTCATTGTTCGTGTAAGCACATCATGTATTGTCATAAGCCATGTGATAGAGGTCCGAAATTCGTGGGTCGGAATGGCGTCTACGGTACGGTCTAGGTTTCTTTCGTACCTCTCTATGTATTTCAAATTTCGCAAATTGCATGAATATACGGACGATTATCACGTTGAAAAGAAGAAGAAAGTCAGAATTCAAAGGATATGTAATGGTTGATTACATGATACTCCACGGTCTTTCCATACAATCAAATGAACAAAGCCCCAAGCGCTGCAAGTCCACACACAGCTCGGGTCATCATTCCGATCTTACACCAGGTCGAGCGTCTCTCTTGCACGGCAGACGGATTAAACGCTATGCGGGATCCAGGCTGGGGAGAAAGCCTGGGCATTGGGAGTGGAGTATGAGGCGATTTCACGGGGTACGGCTGCTCCCTGGGGGAAACGTCCAGACCGATTTGCCGCGGTGACGGATGATATGACTCAACCGTGACAGGGAGCAGTCCTAGATATATGCCAGATACCTGAGACCGCGCATAATTTGGATCGATTGAGTGGAGACTGCTCGACCGACCTCGGTTGCTGTAACAAAGCAAAACATGTCGACAAGTGGTATTTTGGCGCATAAGAGGCAGCACGAACGGGGGTAACCAGAACCAAAAGATTAAAAATAGCGTATAGGAAGAAGTGGATGGTGTAAACCAAGGCCAAGACCGTCAAAAGCTGGAAATCATCTGGACAGACAAAATCGACCGTAATCTTATGTACATCAACGTCGGTCTCGTGGTTGCAATCAAGAGGCAAAAGAAGAGGAATGCTGATAGAAGAAGCGGGATCCAACACGCTATTAATGAGTATGAATGTCAACCTGAACAACCCGCAGTGTTCCAGGCCGACGACGTCTTTCGAATCGATGCTCATTTCTCATCCCTCGTGCAAAGATCGTCCAACGCCGAACCTTATACGTGAACGTAAATAGTCAACCAAAAGATGCACCTCAAATGGAAATCCAACTCCGTCCACAAAAAGGAAAAAGAACCCTGTGTCCAAAAGTATAATCGTAAAATGCGGCCAATATGTATGAGCACCTAGATGACGACAACATCTCCTTCAGCGTCTGCTGGGTCAGAGGCCATCATATCACCATATTTGCCCACGGACATGAGCATTGAATCATCGTCGAGGTCAATCGCACTATCGTCATTATTGGGAGCGTGAAAGCTGGCAATGTTGTCAGCGATGCTAGGTGGCTTTTCACTCTCCACCGAAGCTTGGTTTGGACCTGCGTCTGACGGTGGTCGATTGAGCGATGTTCTGTTTCGGGCGTTCACTTCTGCCGATGAAGAGCTTGTAGTTGACCTTGGCCTCGAGTCACTAGCCTGCTGCGCATCAGAAGCCATAAAAGGGTCATTCTTCTCGGTAGATGGGCCGCTGGATTGTTTCAGCAGAAAATTGGGCGGACCGGGCTGGTCAGAGCCTAAACTCGCATTTTGCAAGGTGCTCGGTGTAAAACGCATGAAACCATTTTTTTCTGCCTGCCATAACATCATCTCATGAAAGAAAACTTTTGTCATCCACCAGGCGCTGAAGCTTTGCGCACCGCCAAGGGTCAACCGGTGGAGAATGCAATCCCACAAGGCGTCGACCTTTTCAATGATGCATTGCGTGCGATGGTGGGGAAATGCAGAGGATATGTTAAGTATAAAGGCTATCCACTTATCCGGAAAGTTGTACTCCTCACCGGTGGACGGCTCGACGGGAAATTTACGAGCCGCGCGATCCGCTTCCGTATCTGGCTTCGTAAAGAAGGGGTGAGAGGCAGAGGGGTTCAGGTCATCGACAGGAGTTAGCAGAGCTCGAACGTCATGTTTCAGTATCTGCTCTGCCGCCCGCTCTGCGCATGTGGGAATGTTCGCTCGTGAGATCATCTCCTTCGGATCAACAAGCGTTTTGAAGTCGAACCACATCTGGTTCCTATTGTCAGGATGGCACAGCCATGCTGCGGCCGCATTGGCTGATTGATTTACATCAAGCATGTGCTTGAGCAGATTGCAGAAAATATGGGACGGTATTAACCTTGCCAAGCTGACATGTGCAGGTTGCGCCTTGAATGTCTCAGCAATGTGAGTAGTCAGCCGTTGCGATATCGAGCTGAAAGCGTCTAGGACAAGTTTTGGAACGACCTGCGTGGTGAGAGGTGCCACGAATGCAATCATTTTCTGGTACATGAGCCAATCGCATTCCTTGATCCAGGGAGCGAGGTTTGGATGTGTCAGCAGCTTTTGTACTGGAACCGTCAAGGTCCCATGAAAAGCGGAGAAATAGCGCAGGAGATTCCGCTCCTTGCAGTAGCGGAAGCTATCGATTACGGAGATACAATGGGAGCGGTAAAGGGCTGCAAGAGCCGCCGCAACCTTAGTATCAGTATTGGAGGGAAGATACCTCCGTATATCGGGCAGTTGAAAGGATTCGTTGTCAACAGACGTGTCCTCGGCGGCCGGTAGGTAGAGCATCTGATGAATCATTTTTCCAGAATGGTTTCCAACGTTCTCGAGGGTAATGCTGTGGTCACCGTTGGAACTAGTCGTGGCTTGGCAGCTACACCCTGTGCTCGAGGGATTCGCTGAGAACCTGGGTGTAAATGAGGCAGTTGGTGAAGGGAACACTGCGGTATCTGTTGGCGGCTGTGGTAGAATACTAAACCGACAAAGCATGTAAGCTTGCATCTTCTAGGATCATCGAGTATGTGATTGACAAACCTCTTCTGCACGGCTCCGTCAAGTTTGTTCTCTACGCCACCACCAATTTGACCATTGGTGATCGACGAGAGCTGTGGGTTCAACGGCGGCGGCTTCTGCTGTTTTTCCTCGATGACCGTTAAATCCACATAGTGGTACTTGGATTCTCCGCGGACACCAAGACGTCTGGTTTGCACATTCGGAAATATGATGCGCACGAGTTTACCAAAAGAAGCCGGATTCAAGACTGAAACACGCTCGGTTCCGCATTTCTCTGCATAGCAGCAGTAAACACGATCTCGTCGCACAGAACCGCTGCTCTTTCGGCAATTCTCCTTCAACCTAAACATCTATGAGTACTGATTATCTGCCAATAACAATGGGCACTGTGCGTCCGCTTACCAGATCATGGCAAAGACCTGCTTAACTTTCTCGGCCTTGCCCCCGGCCCCTTCATGTTTCAAAACCTCTGCCGCCATCTGCTTGAGTGAATAGCCTTCGTACTGACGGAGCAACTTTCGCAGTTCATTGTCATTCGCTAATGATGAATTGGAACCTTTCTTCTTCTTCGCGCCAGCCTCCGAGTTCTCATTGTCTTCCAGCACATGCTCCGGCAAGTGGTTTTCAATGTTACTGTCGTAAATCGCTTGATACTGAGGGATCGGCATGGTAGGCAGACTGTGATGCGACAGACCTGGAGGGATTGAATGGTGAGAGAGGCTATGCCCGTGCATTGCATGACTCGGGAATTCCTCCGCCCTAGGAAGCACTGAATGATGAGGATCCTGAAGTGTCGGATCGAGCGAGGCACCATTCACTGGATGCGATATCTGTTGGCCAAACCGCATAATGATGTCTTCGGGATTACTCGCGAAGACATTGTGACCAGCGGCAGATTGGGAGGGTATAAATTGGGAAAATCCATCGGTGATCTGCTGGTCCTGTGTTTGTTGCGTGGTGCTGGAATGGATACTGGCGGTTGATCCTCTGGACCTTGGTCGACGGCTGTTTCTTGAAACTACAACTTCTGACCGCGCTCGCATAGGGTCCGCCGTCCCAGGACGACTATGCGGTCCTGCCAACTGTGTGGTTTGTGATGCGACACTCGAGCATTGCGAGGCAGCTCGCCCTGTTTGTTTTGGCTACGGATCAGCAACAACGGACGGAAAGGCGGAGTTTAGATGAAATAGGCTGGCCGCAGGGCAGCAATAACCGGAGATCAAATAAAAAGCAGAAGCCTCAGGGCACAGAACGAGACGCAGGACATCTTACCCATCTCATGAGCCATGGTGGAGGGTCTGCTACACACTACCCGACTAGGTGGTTGTGTTTCGTTAGTTGCTGGGTGCAGGTCGGTAACCACGGGCAATGGCGTCTGTTTTGATGATCGGGGGGTCTACAACCACCTCAACTTAAATCACTCGAACTCACACCACAGAAGACCGACGCAGGAAAGAGGCTGGAGGGGTAACTTCAAAGTTTCGGAGATGAGATCGTCAAGTCATGAAATCAGGTCGTGATAGCAGTCGCAAACACGCTATCGAAGGCTCATAGTGGCCGTGGTTGCAGTCTGGTCACAAGTTTTGAGTGTGCAAAGGTGGAATAAACAGAGGCGGCGGTTCCTCAAGCAACGGTCACGTGTGGATTAGCTAAGGCCCATTCCTCAGGCAGATCCGATCTTCAAAACATTAAACAACTATCTAGATAAACAATAGAGGAATCTCAAGTGATGATCACCATATTTATGGTCTCGTCCGTCATTGACAGGAAATAGTAGATAGATGGTGAATAATCTGATTTGCAAGCAGGGAGACAGCTTTCAAGTTACTGGGGAAATTGCTAGCACTTACATGAGTAGCTGTGCCTTGTACAGCGCAATGCTCGTAGGATAAGGTCATCCCACATAATATACTCTTGACATAATTGCTCTAGGACAAGGAATGATAGAACATAATCATTGTGAGGTACTTTGTGCGTAGGAATTTTTGGTTGAAATATCTACAGGTGGAACCATGCCGGATCGAATATATCTATTCAGTCGCTGATCCATGATGGTCGGACTTGACTTTCAAGGTCATCTGAATCAACATACTACCCTTAAGACACCCCCTGGACGACGCAATGCGCAATCCCAACCGAATAGACGCACCAAATTTCACTCGTCTCAGTCCTCGAGCGAATTCCCCACCCCAGTCTGAATTTGCTTGAAAGCCGCGAGGCTTTCGAATGGGACTGATCGCTCGTGGAGTGACTGTGAAGGAGAATAGGAGATAATCCGGCAAAGAGACAGTTGCAGCAATGAAATTGGTCAAGCCAGAGATAGAATACAATGCTGGGTTTTCACAAAAGGGACAGACAAAGATGAAAATTTACATATCGAAGCTAATTACTTCCTATCATCTCTAAGCCGAGAAAGAAAAAACGGAAAGGTACATTTGGCCAAGTAACACACGGACAAAAGAAGAGGCCGCCTGGGGGTAATAATAGGTATGAGGAGTATAAGGTACCCTGATGCACAGTCACGCACCACCTTGCAAATCCAACATCAATAGGCCCAAGCCAAGCCACACTGCTTGAGGAACAAATAGGAAACTCTTTCACCGGGAGTCCATCTAGACAAGATCCCGCTTGACGAACTCAGCGAGCAGAGTCTTACCAAGATGGGCAGGGCTTCTCTCCACAGTGACACCGGCACTCTCGAGGGCGGCAATCTTGGAGTCAGCACCACCCTTACCACCGCTAACGATAGCACCAGCGTGACCCATACGACGACCGGGGGGAGCGCTAATACCAGCGATGAAACCAACAGCGGGCTTGTTGTACTTGTTGTTGGCCTTGAAGAACTCGGCAGCATCCTCCTCGGCGCTACCACCGATCTCACCAATCATGATGATACCGTCTGTCTCCTCATCCTCGAGGAAGATCTTCAGGCAGTCAATGAAGTTGGTACCGGAGAAGGGGTCACCACCGATACCAACGACGAGGGACTGGCCGAGACCGGCCTGGGTGGTCTGGTTGACAGCCTCGTAGGTCAGGGTTCCGGACCGAGACACAATACCGACACGACCGCGCTTGTGGATGAATCCAGGCATGATACCAATCTTACATTGGCCCTACATCGTAGAAAAAGAGCATATCAACACGCCGCACCGCCTTGCCATATCACAAAATCGGATGCTAATGAACTTACAGGAGCAATGATACCAGGGCAATTGGGTCCAACCAGACGGGTCTTGTTCTGAGTCTTCAAGATATCCGTGATGCGAACCATGTCTGTTGATTCCGAGTCAGTTCTTGTGCAAATAAAGTTACATTGCGCGGAGCAAGGGGACATACCGTGCTGGGGAATACCCTCGGTAATGCTGCGAAACATCGGCGTCAGCGATGTCAAGTTACTGTTTTTCTTGAAATGGGAGCACGACTCACCAAACAACCAAGGGAACCTCAGCCGCGATAGCCTCCTCGATACCCGCAGCAGCTAGAGGGGGACTGGAATATATCAGTATCAGTCATTCCGGCAACGATGGAAACCAGAGATTATGAGTCCATACGGAACGAAGATAGCAGAGGCAGTGGCACCAGTTTCCTTCACAGCCTCGCTGACATTTGCGAAAACAGGTCTATCAAGGTGCATCGTACCGGCCTTCTTAGGGTTGGTACCGCCGACAACCTTGGTTCCTGAGAATTGTAAGCTTTTGAACTCCTGTCGTAGACCCGCGCAACCAAGATCAAGGGGTAAATCGTAATATACCATAGGCAATGGCTTGCTCAGCGTGGAAACTGTTGGTAGCGAAAAAAAGGCAACGTCAGCATCTTTGTATGCGGCTAAAATGGGAACGCTAGATATCACCGCAACATACGTTCCCTGCTTTCCAGTGAAACCCTGGAAGAGGACCTTGGTGTCTGCATTGATGCGCAGGTTGTTCACAGTCTCAGAGTAGATCGAGCTGCCCTGGCTGTAAGCTCGTCGCTGCACAGCAGCGGCATTCTGAAGGGCAGAGAGGGTGCTACGGCGGAAAGCCTGCATGGTTGCCTATGAGATACAAAGGATAGACAGATAGAGGGGAGAGTGCACCGGTAAGTGTGCTAGAAAATCACAGAAGATCTGGGGAAGCTTCGCAGAATATACCAAATGACATGGGACAGTTCAGGAAAACGCGCCGGGATGGGTTTGGGGTTTGGACTTTTCGGGACAAAGCTTTAAGCGGATCCGAATTGTCGCGGCGGTCGGTTGGCTCCCTCGGCCTTCTTTTTTTCCATCTCCCTGCTATCAATACTATTGCCGATAACAAATCTGCCCCTCGTCAAGCGGTATCGTGATATTCATTCATCCTAGCTTACCTGGTCGGGAGGCTTAGTGTTGTACTCTATAGTACCGTTCGTAATCCTTGCTTTGGGACTTTAGGGCATACTGTGATCTGCGATCGTCGCAGTAATCCATTCCACAATGGCGACCCTCACCATGACATTGCCACCACCATCCAAATACAAGAACAGCAACGAGAAACTCCCACCAGAAAATGAACGTTATATGCGAGCATGCTCTGATATTGCGAATGCGCTCATTCAGGAATATGAAGCGCAGAGGGATTCATCCAAACCGAAGAAAGATATTAACCTTAACAAGCTGCGCGGTCAAATCGCGAAGAAACATCGCCTGGCCACGCAACCTCCCTTAACAGCTATTATCGCTGCCGTGCCGGAACAATACAAGAAATACATCTTACCCAAGCTGATTGCGAAGCCCATTCGGACGTCGTCAGGAATTGCCGTTGTCGCCGTGATGAGCAAACCCCACCGTTGTCCGCATATTGCTTACACCGGTAACATTTGTGTCTACTGCCCTGGTGGACCTGATTCGGACTTTGAGTATTCGACACAGTCATATACTGGCTATGAGCCGACGTCGATGCGTGCGATCCGAGCGCGGTACGATCCGTTTGAACAAGCGAGAGGTCGGGTTGATCAGATCAAGTCTCTCGGCCATAGTGTGGACAAGGTGGAATATATTGTCATGGGTGGCACATTCATGTCTCTTCCGCCGGATTACAGAGAATCTTTCATTGCTCAACTTCACAATGCGCTGAGTGGGTACCAGACGGACAATGTTGACGAGGCTGTTCAGGCGGGCGAAATGAGCAACATCAAATGCGTGGGTATTACGATCGAGACTCGGCCTGATTACTGTCTGGATACTCATCTGAGTGATATGCTTCGGTATGGGTGCACGCGTTTGGAAATCGGTGTGCAAAGTTTGTATGAAGATGTTGCGCGGGACACGAATCGAGGCCATACCGTCGCTGCGGTTGCAGAGACATTCAAGCTCGCCAAGGATGCTGGGTTCAAGGTGGTTAGCCACATGATGCCTGATCTGCCGAATGTTGGCATGGAGCGGGATCTCTTTCAGTTTCAGGAATATTTTGAAAATCCAGCCTTCCGTACGGATGGACTGAAGATCTATCCGACGCTGGTCATTCGTGGTACAGGTCTGTATGAGCTTTGGAGGACGGGTCGCTACAAGAACTACACTCCCAACGCGCTGGTAGATCTTGTCGCTCGAATCCTTGCGCTGGTCCCTCCATGGACGCGTATCTACCGTGTGCAGCGAGATATTCCCATGCCTCTGGTCACTTCCGGCGTGGAGAATGGTAACCTTCGAGAACTGGCTTTGGCACGGATGAAAGACTTTGGCACAACATGTCGTGATGTGCGCACCCGCGAAGTTGGTATCAATGAGGTGAAGAACAAAATCCGCCCCTCGCAAGTGGAGCTCATCCGTCGAGACTATACTGCCAACGGAGGTTGGGAAACGTTCCTCGCCTATGAAGATCCCAAGCAGGACATTCTCATCGGCTTACTGCGCCTACGAAAATGCAGTCCCACTCACACTTTCCGTCCGGAATTCACCGGCCAGCAGACGAGTATTGTGCGGGAGCTCCACGTATATGGCTCCGCAGTACCGCTGCACGGCCGCGATCCGCGGAAGTTCCAGCACCGAGGATTTGGAACCTTGCTGATGGAGGAGGCCGAGCGGATCGCGCGAGAAGAACATGGAAGCCGGAAGATTAGCGTCATCTCGGGAGTTGGTGTCCGCAGTTACTATGCTCGTCTCGGGTACACACTGGACGGTCCTTACATGTCCAAGATGCTTGACCCGATTGAAGACGAAGAATTCTAATTCAAATAAAGCACGAGACCCTTTTGCCTTTGTGTTTGATGTCGAAAATTGATATGATAATGATGGTTTACAAAATGGGAGCTCTCAAAAGTCGGGTTCTGTCGAGAGTACATGGCAATCATTGGGTGTTTTCAGGCGTTTCTTGCATCACGGCGTTAGCGGCTCGATGCATTACAATCTCGAGTCCGTACATGTCTCAACCCCTGCCTTCCATCATTGGGTGTAGAACATGTCGACAATCCTTCTGTTTTCTCCTGTTTCCAGGACTTCGAAATGATAGAATTGGAGCCTGTTTTGTGCAAGGGCCAGTCTACTATTCTGCAATCGTTCATATGACAGTAAAAGGTAGATTTGAAGCATCTCTATGTCAAACAACGACACAATATGTACTCCGGACAAACCACGGTAAAGAAAGTGTGCTCTAGAAAAGTCGAAGACAGATACCGTTGAAGCAAGAACACCACACCTGATTAAAGCAAACAGGGACATCACAATCGCGGGAACGAAGGTTCAGGAGATGTATGGGATTTGGAATCGTCATCTGATTGACAAACGTCATGCGCCGAATCGAAAGAGGTACACCCGCTCATGAGCGTCCCTAGAGGCAGTTGACATATCCCTTTGTTTCGTAGAGACGGACATATCAAATGGCGAGATCCATGTTTTCCTGCGAGAAATATATAAGAGATTGTCTAGCTTAGCGATATAGCACCTCCCCGGCGGCTTCTCATGTGCAGATAAGCCTGGAAGGCACAGAAAACGAAGAAACACTACCCACAACAATGTGTCAGCACATCCATTCCTTAGTACTTGATGTGCAGAATAGTGGCGCGATAGACTTACAGCGTATACGATCACCGCGGTGAAAATCGAAGCAGCAACTGCGGCGCCATCTTCGGGGTCGGTTTCCGATCCGGTGAATCCATGGTGTTCACTCTGAATACATCGTTAGCAGGCCACTACAATAATCCACTGCTCTCTGTGATCGGAGAAAAAGGGGACCGAGGCAGCATATATGGTTGTTGAGCGGATAAGTAAGGCACCAGACGAACCTTGTATAACGATCCGAGGACAGACAGGATGACAATAGCGAAGGCGGAGATGACCACGCTGTATCGGAGGCATTTTGTTAGTCTTTTGATTCTGTTTGGACGGCGACAATGACCTTACCAGGACCAGGCATTTAGAACCGATACAACGGGCTTCATTTTGACGTTGTCGTGATCAGAGTTGCGATAAGTGATTGATAGACTTCAAGCAATGCGGTTTGGCTGTGAGGTCGACTTATCCTCGCAAGAATCAGCGATCGGTGTATAAGAGACAATGCAGGTGATAGGTTAAATATGAAGTCGATTGCGAATGAGCAGCTCCGCCCATGAGAGCTCAAATTATGGAGATGCAGGAGCTCTTGATGTAGGTACTCCGTATGGTCTGCCGGCTGCACTCTGGAGGGGAGGCGGAGAGCTCTCTGGATCCGCCTTAAGCCGCATTTGGTATGTGAGGTCCAGATGAGCGTCGTCCACTCGTCATTTTCCGTCGTCCACAGGCGAAAGCATCAATATGATTTCCATCTTTATGAATAACTCCAGGAGACTTTAAACAGACTACCTGGTTTCTTAAATCGATCAGACGACAATGCAGATGTCTAATCGAACATTCCTAAGAGCTCTTTTGCGTGAAAAAATTATACTAGCGGCTTGTATATCTATGTCTTGGCAAATAGTTCCCAGAGGAGATGATTCCTATCTTCATCAGTGTTCCAAGCCTCACACTCATTGCTACGTATTGCTACGTAAAAAGTCAAAGAAGACAATCAAACAGTCTGCTGTTTTGTTCTATGCCTCAATATGCACTCTCATTACATACGGACTTTGATTACTTTTGAGAAAACCCCTTTGTGATGCGTGAATGATTGCTCAATAATGTTTAGCTCTACACGTCAAGATCAGACCAAAGGGACTTAGTCAAAAGACTGGTTTTGTCATCATTTGTCCATATCACGATCGTCGTCACGGTGGAAAAGGCGAATCGTTTGCTCAGAGGGTCTCGGTATCAAATCTTTTGGAGCTCTTGGAGGCTGACTTATATCTATCACACCCCTGAAGATTGAACGTAATGCTCACATGATATCGAACAGATACAAACGGAAGGCGATGAGTTTTTGAATGCCCATGACAGTTACAGCATGCTCCGAGATAACATCCCTACTGACCAGGTATATTGCCAGGGCAATGGGTGATGATGCCTCGCGGCGGTGGTCTAGATTTCGCGACTCCTGCGAATGATGCTTCATCCTCAACTCTCGAATTTTAACGCTTATGATCGCAATGAAGGCCTCGTCTCTTGGGAATAGTCAGTTGAAACTCGAAGCCGAATGGGAACGCATCTCTTGGTGTCCTTGCTTGACGTCGAAGTGCGACTGCCGTACACACTGAAGAGACACTGGTGAGCGTTTGGACTATGCGCTGTCTTGCCTGAACTACACAGAAAAGTGGCGTATATAGCTTTACCTCGCTTGCATCCTTCTGTTGCTCGATAAGAGCTACTGAAAATGAACCCTACTAACAGAGACAGTCATGCTTAGATTCATCAGACACTATTGTAACATAGGTATATGGCACTGTTTTTGACAGCATTGCTTTTTCGACGCCAATGGGGTCCAAATTTAAATATAAATCGGGGAATATATCCATCGAATGCTTCTATTCCCTCTTCGCTTCTAGTGTCCTTGAGACTCTAGATCCACGCGTTGATTATGACGGCTTCTCGACTCATACTTAAGGGCTAACATGGCCGCTCACACTATAAGAATTGCAGTCATTCCTACTCTAAGTTCAGCTCAGACGCCA